ATTAAATTAATTTACTTGCCAGGTCCTATGATTGGCAAGTGGAAGTAGCCTTTGGAAGATATTTCAGGATGCCAGAGTTGGACAGAGTAATCCAAGAGTGATTGGGTTGGGCAAGTGGGATGGCTTAAAGTACAAATCAGGAAGAAGGCTGGGAAATAAATGTTAGTTGGTTGGACCAAGTGAATACAAGATGTTGGATTGAAATTAAATTAATTTACTTGCCAGGTCCTATGATTGGCAAATGGTAGTAGCCTTTGGAAGATATTTCAGGATGCCAGAGTTGGACAGAGTAATCCAAGAGTGATTGGGTTGGGCAAGTGGGATGGCTTAAAGTACAAATCAGGAAGAAGGCTGGGAAATAAATGTTAGTTGGTTGGACCAAGTGAATACAAGATGTTGGATTGAAATTAAATTAATTTACTTGCCAGGTCCTATGATTGGCAAATGGTAGTAGCCTTTGGAAGATATGTCAGGATGCCAGAGTTGGACAGAGTAATCCAAGAGTGATTGGGTTGGCAAGTGGGATGGCTTAAAGTACAAATCAGGAAGAAGGCTGGAAAATAAATGTCAGTTGGTTGGACCCAGTGAATACAAGATGTTGGATTGAAATTAAATTAATTTACTTGCCAGGTCCTATGAATGGCAAATGGTAGTAGCCTCTGGAAGATATGTCAGGATGCCAGAGTTGGGACAGAGTAATCCCAAGAGTGATTGGGTTGGCAAGTGGGATGGCTTAATGTACAAATCAGGAAGAAGGCTGGAAAATAAATGTCAGTTGGTTGGACCAAGTGAATACAAGATGTTGCATTGAAATTAAATTAATTTACTTGCCAGGTCCTATGATTGGCAAATGGTAGTAGCCTTTGGAAGATATGTCAGGATGCCAGAGTTGGACAGAGTAATCCAAGAGTGATTGGGTTGGGCAAGTGGGATGGCTTAAAGTACAAATCAGGAAGAAGGCCGGAAAATAAATGTTAGTGTGTTGGACCAAGTGAATACAAGATGTTGGATTGAAATTAAATTAATTTACTTGCCAGGTCCTATGATTGGCAAATGGTAGTAGCCTTTGGAAGATATGTCAGGATGCCAGAGTTGGACAGAGTAATCCAAGAGTGATTGGGTTGGCAAGTGGGATGGCTTAAAGTACAAATCAGGAAGAAGGCTGGAAAATAAATGTCAGTTGGTTGGACCAAGTGAATACAAGATGTTGCATTGAAATTAAATTAATTTACTTGCCAGGTCCTATGATTGGCAAATGGTAGTAGCCTTTGGAAGATATGTCAGGATGCCAGAGTTGGACAGAGTAATCCAAGAGTGATTGGGTTGGGCAAGTGGGATGGCTTAAAGTACAAATCAGGAAGAAGGCCGGAAAATAAATGTTAGTGTGTTGGACCAAGTGAATACAAGATGTTGGATTGAAATTAAATTAATTTACTTGCCAGGTCCTATGATTAGCAAATGGTAGTAGCCTTTGGAAGATATGTCAGGATGCCAGAGTTGGACAGAGTAATCCAAGAGTGATTGGGTTGGGCAAGTGGGATGGCTTAAAGTACAAATCAGGAAGAAGGCCGGAAAATAAATGTTAGTTGGTTGGACCAAGTGAATACAAGATGTTGGATTGAAATTAAATTAATTTACTTGCCAGGTCCTATGATTGGCAAATGGTAGTAGCCTTTGGAAGATATGTCAGGATGCCAGAGTTGGACAGAGTAATCCAAGAGTGATTGGGTTGGGCAAGTGGGATGGCTCAAAGTACAAATCAGGAAGAAGGCTGGAAAATAAATGTTAGTTGGTTGGACCAAGTGAATACAAGATGTTGGATTGAAATTAAATTAATTTACTTGCCAGGTCCTATGATTGGCAAATGGTAGTAGCCTTTGGAAGATATGTCAGGATGCCAGAGTTGGACAGAGTAATCCAAGAGTGATTGGGTTGGGCAAGTGGGATGGCTCAAAGTACAAATCAGGAAGAAGGCTGGAAAACAAATGTTAGTTGGTTGGACCAAGTCAATACAAGATTTTGGATTGAAATTAAATTAATTTACTTGCCAGGTCCTATGATTGGCAAATGGTAGTAGCCTTTGGAAGATATGTCAGGATGCCAGAGTTGGACAGAGTAATCCAAGAGTGATTGGGTTGGGCAAGTGGGATGGCTCAAAGTACAAATCAGGAAGAAGGCTGGAAAATAAATGTTAGTGTGTTGGACCAAGTGAATACAAGATGTTGGATTGAAATTAAATTAATTTACTTGCCAGGTCCTATGATTGGCAAATGGTAGTAGCCTTTGGAAGATATGTCAGGATGCCAGAGTTGGACAGAGTAATCCAAGAGTGATTGGGTTGGGCAAGTGGGATGGCTTAAAGTACAAATCAGGAAGAAGGCCGGAAAATAAATGTTAGTGTGTTGGACCAAGTGAATACAAGATGTTGGATTGAAATTAAATTAATTTACTTGCCAGGTCCTATGATTGGCAAATGGTAGTAGCCTTTGGAAGATATGTCAGGATGCCAGAGTTGGACAGAGTAATCCAAGAGTGATTGGGTTGGCAAGTGGGATGGCTTAAAGTACAAATCAGGAAGAAGGCTGGAAAATAAATGTCAGTTGGTTGGACCAAGTGAATACAAGATGTTGGATTGAAATTAAATTAATTTACTTGCCAGGTCCTATGATTGGCAAATGGTAGTAGCCTTTGGAAGATATGTCAGGATGCCAGAGTTGGACAGAGTAATCCAAGAGTGATTGGGTTGGGCAAGTGGGATGGCTTAAAGTACAAATCAGGAAGAAGGCTGGAAAACAAATGTTAGTTGGTTGGACCAAGTCAATACAAGATTTTGGATTGAAATTAAATTAATTTACTTGCCAGGTCCTATGATTGGCAAATGGTAGTAGCCTTTGGAAGATATGTCAGGATGCCAGAGTTGGACAGAGTAATCCAAAAGTGATTGGGTTGGCAAGTGGGATGGCTTAAAGTACAAATCAGGAAGAAGGCTGGAAAATAAATGTCAGTTGGTTGGACCAAGTGAATACAAGATGTTGGATTGAAATTAAATTAATTTACTTGCCAGGTCCTATGATTGGCAAATGGTAGTAGCCTTTGGAAGATATGTCAGGATGCCAGAGTTGGACAGAGTAATCCAAGAGTGATTGGGTTGGGCAAGTGGGATGGCTTAAAGTACAAATCAGGAAGAAGGCTGAAAAATAAATGTTAGTTGGTTGGACCAAGTGAATACAAGATGTTGGATTGAAATAAAATTAACTTACTTGCCAGGTCGTTTGATTGGCAAATGGTAGTAGCCTTTGGAAGATATGTCAGGATGCCAGAGTTGGACAGAGTAATCCAAGAGTGATTGGGTTGGCGATTGGGATGTCTAGGGGGCTGTTTTTTTGGTTTGTTTTGTCTTTGTTGTTACGTTGGGGGTGACCTCTAGGTTGGGGGGGACCTGTAGTATTCAGATGATGTCATCAGACAGCAGGTTACCCTAGGACCATCAGCTTGGATGTCCTTACATATGCATTTAGGCTACTACATATTCATGTAGGCTCTAGGGCTCTAAGTCTAGGTCAAGCATTTGATTCTCAGGGAAACCCCTTCCACAATTCAAAGATAACAAGCTCATTGCCAACCTGCAACCTTGGACCTAGCCTTAAGGAGAGCCACCATCAGGGTCATCATCTTAGACCTCCATCCTGAAACACATCTCTCAGGATGATTTGGTCACTCAGAGTAAGTGATCCCAATCTCTTCCCTCGAAGTCAAAACAACAAAAGCAAACAAAATTGTCTTGGCTGACTTTCTAATACATCTTATCCTCCACCGCCACCTTATGCACACTGCTGACTCTCAAATTCCTTAATCGCCACTGATGATCTTGTCTCTTCCACCACTCTTTACCCATTATGGAAACCTACTGCCACCACCCTCACCTCAACCAGACAATCCAAACTTTAGTACGATCTGATCTACCTTCAGCCCTCCGATCGTCCAAGAACCACTGCATATCCTTGCAAACGCCCTCTTCTTACACCCACTCTCCAGGTATTCCATCAATCTCTTACCCACCTTGGGTCCCTTGGTCGAACTCACTGCTGGTCCACCCGATAGATCTCCAAATCCCAGTGCTCAATGTACAGAAACCCATCCCGTTCCTGGCTTCCAGGATAATATTCCTCATCACCGCCGTCCCCTCCATCTTGGTGATTGAGTTGATCGAAAAAACTGGGCTGATCAGCTGCTTCAAACAATCCCTTAAGCACCAACTCCTAAATAGGAACCAGACTCAAAAATTAGTTTCTCATCCATCGGTCAATCAGGATGTGCTAATTGATCACACTCAAGATCATCTTCAACCTCATCGTCCATTTAGCTCAATTGGACTTAAGTCATTTTTATAATTCCCTGTAAATTTCTTTTGTAAGAGATTCAATCATGTAATTTTTTCAATACATCATCACTTGTATAACATACTAGTATTCACCTACACACACAAAGTTAAACCAATAAGTAATCTAAAAAATTGTTTTAGGATCATTCTATAACCACCTTTCTTTTTTATGTTTCTCCTATTAATCAAAATAGCCCTAACCCTAGTTAATAAAGGATAGTAGCTATAATTAAAAGAAAACAAACAGAGTAAGTAGAGGCAAAAAAAAATTAAGATAAAAAGAAAATTTAAATTTGAAAGAGATAATCAAGAGCAGTTCAGGCTTCGGCTTTTTCGAGTATGTAAGGGATATCAGCTATAAACTTTTTTGGATCTTTTACAAATTCTTCAAGGAGAACTCTATCTAATATATTGGTAGTCCGCCTAGCAATTTGTAAAGACATGCCAAGTTTAGTAAAATTACCATTTTCTTCAGGCTTGAGGGTGCCATGAGTATAGTTTCTTTGATCAAAGATCATCTGTACCATCGTATCTGGCTTGAAATCGATTCCAAAAGCACATTGCGGGAATACAAACTGACCCCCCTTGACATCATAGCCATCAGACTCCATCGCCAGAAGACCTGTATCCTTGAAGGTTGGTACACATAATAGAAACGCAAAAGGAAGTCTTTCGTCATCCCGGCCGTCTTTATGTGGATGATTATAAAAGCCGTCTGAGGTGAAAGTGAGGTTTGATGAGAAAAATTTATTATGAGGAAGCTCGGGAGTATCGGGGATCCCATCCTCATTATGTGGAACACTTTCAGTAGAGGCCACAGCTTCAGTTGTATCGTTCGATGGGTTTTTGTTAATAGGGGCAGGTGTGTCTGGTACCTCGTTGCGGCTTGGAGTAACAGATTGGTTGCAAGTAGTAGGAGCACAATCATCTGTCTCCACCTCAGGGTTCGGATGGCTGAGGTCAGTCGTAGATTCATCGGGATCGGCTTGGGGAGAAATTTCCTTCGGGGTGGTACCAGGAATGACTTGGTCTGAGAAGGATGGTAGGTTATGCTCAATCATAAACTGGCGATTGGCTTCAAGGGCCTTGTTACCCATTGGAAAGAAGAGGTCCCAGAGTATCTGAGAAGCTCGATCGGCATCGCGTACATGTTGGATGAATTCATCGGGATTATCCTTGATAGCTTGAGAGTTGACATAACGGCCCACTATTTCAAGATGAGTCATAGATTTACGCCATCCAATCGCCCACATGTAACCCCCACAAGATCTTGATTCAGACCCCACCGTATTAACAAACTTCTTGGATTGGTGGAGAAATCCAAGAAAGAAATTCAAGTCCTCCCGCATCTGATCCGATATGGTCTTGAGGTCTGTGAACTTGATCTCAGCAATAATCCGCTTTTCCTTTTCTTTAGTCGTCTTCCTATCAAACATATGGACAAGGCCATGATCGTAGAGACGGAATTTTTTTGGATCCGTAACGATTGAGTTGGCTGATTCGATCTCTTCTAGGGTAGGAGTACGACGATATATTGGATCCTTGGGAGGTTGTGGGCCACGTCCGTCTTTGAAAGCTTTTTGGGCTTTCTTTCGTTCCAACTTGAGTTTCCTGTACTCGGTTGTAATATCTTGAAAGAGATCCAGCTGGACACGGACACGGACCTCCCATGTAACAGAGCCACAGTTCGGAGGTAGGTCAGTGATGAATTCTCGTCTAGCATTTTGATAGGCAATTCGTCGTTTCTTTGCAAAGTTTTCATTTCGATGTCGTTTCTTATTCACTTGAACACTATAATAAATTGTGCAAGCTTTTAGCAGTTTTCTAAATGGTTCTAGACAACAAAAGTCAAACTTCACATACGCCAGATTGGTTGAGGTTGTTGATTTGTTACCAGCGGGTCCTCCTTGTCCTGTCTGCATTTGATCTTCTGCTTCACTAGGTACATCGGACAAAGTTGAGTCGGAATCGTAATCCGGATGGAATGTCATACTGACTTCACAAGTAGGAAGAAATGGCATTATTATTTGGTAAGGTCTTGATAAGCAGGTCAGTGAGATCCAAAACCCTTACATTATATAATCCACCGATGTCTGTAATCATTGAAAACAAAAATTCAAAGCAAAGCAATCAAATACATTCCAATTAGTCAAAAATCTCCATTGTTACTACGTCAAGTTGCCTTGATTCATTAGCCTCCAACTGATCCAACCACTGGTACCCCCTACTCATCCCCATCACGCTTGCATGATAATCAGCGTTGCCTTCAAGGGACATTCCTCCTCTTTTTGTGGTTTGATCTACTCTTTGGCTTTCAAGGCATGGGGGAGGATGTTATGAAGATATTAATTAATTAACTCACAATTCCTTTGATTATCAACCACGCCTACCTATGGAGTACAAATCAAGAAGTAGCCAGACATATAAATGTTAGTTAGTCATTGATTCATCATTTGGAAACTGATTCATTAGCTGGTAAGCTGCCTTGATACATTAGCCTCCAACTGATCCAACCACTGGTACCCCCTACTCATCCCCATCACGCTTGCATGATAATCAGCGTTGCCTTCAAGGGACATTCCTCCTCTTTTTGTGGTTTGATCTATAGTTTGGCTTTCAAGGCATGGGGGCGTATGTTATGAAGATATTAATTAATTAACTCACAATTCCTTTGATTATCAACCACGCCTACCTATGGAGTACAAATCAAGAAGTAGCCAAACAAATAAATGTTAGTTAGTCATTGATTCATCATTTGGGAACTGATGCATTAGCTGGTAAGCTGCCTTGATTCATTAGCCTCCAACTGATCCAACCACTGGTACCCCCTACTCATCCCCATCACGCTTGCATGATAATCAGCGTTGCCTTCAAGGGACATTCCTCCTCTTTTTGTGGTTTGATCTTCTCTTTGGCTTTCAAGGCATGGCAGAGGATGTTATGAAGATATTAATTAATTAACTCACAATTCCTTTGATTATCACCACGCCTACCTATGGAGTACAAATCAAGAAGTAGCCAGACAAATAAAGGTTAGTTAGTCATTGATTAATTAGTTGGTAACTGATTCATTAGCTGGGAAGCGCCTTGATTCATTAGCCTCCAACTGATCCAACCACTGGTACCCCCTACTCATCCCCATCACGCTTGCATGATAATCAGCGTTGCCTTCAAGGGACATTCCACCTCTTTTTGTGGTTTGATCTATTCTTTGGCTTTCAAGGCATGGCAGAGGATGTGATAAAGAGATTCATTAATTAACTTACAATTCCTTTTATTATCAAAAGCACCTAGCTATGGAGTACAAATCATGAAGGAGGCAGACCAATAAATGTTAGTTGGTGGCACCAAGTGAATACATCATGTTGGATTGAAATGAAATTAACTTACTTGCCAGATCCTCTGATCAGGAAATGGAAGGAGCCTCCGGAAGATATGTAAGGATGACAGAGTTGGTCAGAGTAATCCAAGAGTGATTGGGGTGGGAAACGTGAAGGCTTAAAGTACAAATCAGGAAGGAGGCAGAAACTAAATGTTAGTTGGTTGTACCAAGTGAATACATCATGTTGGGTTGAAAAGAAATTGACTTACTTGCTAGGACCTCTGATTGGTAACTGGAGTGGAAGGAGCCTCTGGAAGATAAGGATGACAGAGTAGTTGGTCAGAGTAATCCAAGAGTGATTGGGGTGGGAAACGTGATGGCTTAAAGTACAAATCAGGAAGGAGGCAAAAAAAAATGTTAGTTGGTTGGACCAAGTGAATACATCATGTTGGATTGAAAAGAAATTGACTTACTTGCTAGGACCTCTGATTGGTAACTGGAGTGGAAGGAGCCTCTGGAAGATAAGGATGACAGAGTTGGTCAGAGTAATCCAAGAGTGATTGGGGTGGGAAACGTGATGGCTTAAAGTACAAATCAGGAAGGAGGCAAAAAAAAATGTTAGTTGGTTGGACCAAGTGAATACAAGATGTTGGGTTGAAATTAAATTAACTTACTTGCCAGGTCCTTTGATTGGCAAATGGTAGTAGCCTTTGGAAGATATGTAAGGATGACCGAGTTGGACAGAGTAATCCAAGAGTGATTGGGGTGGGCAAGTGGGATGGCTTAAAGTACAAATCAGGAAGCAGGCAGAAAAATAAATGTTAGTTGGTTGGACCAAGTGAATACAAGATGTTGGATTGAAATAAAATTAACTTACTTGCCAGGTCCTTTGATATGCAAATGGTAGTAGAATCTGGAAGATATGTCAGGATGCCAGAGTTGGACAGAGTAATCCAAGAGTGATTGGGGTGGGCAAGTGGGATGGCTTAAAGTACAAATCAGGAAGGAGGCAGAAAAATAAATGTTAGTTGGTTGGAACAAGTGAATACAAGATGCTGGATTGAAATGAAATTGACTTACTTGCTAGGACCTCTGATTGGTAACTGGAGTGGAAGGAGCCTCTGGAAGATATGTAAGGAAGACAGAGTTGGTCAGAGTAATCCAAAAGTGATTTGGGTGGCAAATGTGTAGGCTGAGGGGCTGTTTCTTTGGTGTGTTTTGTCTATGTTGTTCGGTTGGGGGAGGGGACCTCTAGGTTGGGGGGGGGGGGGCTGTAGTAATCAGATGATGTCATCAGAGAGCAGGACAACCTAGGACAATCAGCTTACATAAATATGCATGTAAGCTGCTAGGATCCTTTCATATGCATTGAGGCTACTACATACCCATGTTAGGCTCTAGGGCTCTGGGTCTAGGCCAAGCATTCAATTTTCAGGGAAACCCCTTCCAACACTCTACAATACTCATTGCTAACAGGCAAAAATGGACTGAGCAGACCTACCACCAGGGTCATCATCTTGACCTCAATGCCCATCCCTCCGGATGGATTGGTCAACTCAGAGTAAGTGATCCCACTCCCTTCCCTCCAAGTCAAAACAACAACAGCAAACAAACACCCCCACAATTCTCTTGGCTGAATTTCTGATGCATATCATCCTCCACAGCAACCTTACACACACTTGTGTCACTCTCAAATTCCTCAATCCAGATGATCTTGTCTCCCATCTACCACTCTTTACCTGTTATGCAAATCTACTCCCACCACTCTCACCTCAATCACACTATCCAAAATTTACCAGGAACCGAATGACCTGCAGCCCTCCGACCGTCCACCAACCATTGCGGATCCTTACAAATGCCCTCTCCTTATACCCGCTCTCCAGGTCTTCCATCGGTCTCTTACCCCCCTTGAGACTCTCGGTCGAACTCGCCGCTGCTCCATCTGATAAATCTCCAAATCCCGTCCTCACCGTCTCAAGAAGCAGGTTCTCATCCATCCATCCCTCAGCATGTGCTCAGCGAACACCTCAAGATCATCTTCAACCTCACGGTCCATTACCCTAAATTGGTCTTACACTTCGGCCAGCCCACCTCGCCTACCATCGGCCAATCCTCATTCACCTCCTCTTCAGACTCCAATGGTTCAAACGACCCACCAGTCTCTCCTAGTCGTCGGGCGAGTCTCAAGACACGTCTTATGAATCAGATTAGTATCAAGAAGATTACCCGTCGAACACGATCAGAAGCTTCGAATATCAAGGAACAAGAACCCCTCGATCAGATATCGGCATACCACGATGACCATCGTCCCAGCCATTCGAAAAATTCCCGTTCTCCTCATAACCGCTCCCATTCAAAAACTAGTAATCGGGTACCCAGCGTAGATCAGGACGTAGAAGGTTTGGATAACGTCATCGACCCACACAACCACGTTTTTGCTGGGTCAGTAACCTGCTCATTCCTCTTCAAAGGACGAGCAATCACTAACACTTTGTGACTCATTCTCCACGATCTTGTTTCAGACTTCTTCCTCATCTCGTTCAGTTATTCCTCCTGGAGCCGATCCCCAACCCACCCAACCTGAAGCCTCCATTGACTTCCTTCATACACACTTTCCTCAACTTTCTACCCTTTACCTCGAGCTTCTTCATTCATGATTACACTTTACCAGATGATTCAAATCGGGATCCGAATATCCCACCGGTGATTGCTAACCTGGTCAATCTCATTGATCAGGTCACTGATTACTACTGCCCTGGAGATCCTGATGATCGATCTACGAAGGAAAAATGTCATGCAGACTCCATCGACCTCGAGGTCGATCTAACCCAAATCGTTCTCTTGACGGCCAACCTCATCTCACCCCATACTTCCCCTCACCCTTCGACGCCCATTGGACTAAACAAAAAGAATCGCGAAGCGCTCATTGAAAGGGTCGTGCCAAGTAACATCGATCGCAGTGTTCCTTTGAATAAACAGGATAATCTGATTGGCCGTATTCTGAGATTGATGAACTCAGTAGGATTCGAATCCCTCAAACATACTTGTGGGGCCTTTCTAAATGCATTATATGCGGAGGACAGTAAGTCATTATGAATTTTGTTTCGCGAGTATCCCCGAGAGAGAAAGGGCTGATGATCGATTCATATATAACCAAATCATCACAGCCGATCGTCTTTCGAGTCAAGTTGGATATGGACCGATTGCAGGCTACTTACTTTCGATCGGTAAGGCAGGGTTGAATCCGGATAGCAAGCATTCACCGGCGGCCGAGATTAATCCGATCACGGGCACGTACTGGCCGAGTGGCGAGTCGAGCGAGTCGGCTCAGTCGCCGATGACTGAGTTTGAGAAGGAGCAGGAAGCCGAACGGATGTGTTCGCTGTTCGACCGGATGAATAGGAGCGGTATCATCTCCGCAACTGATCCGAGGAAACTGGCAGTCGAATCGGGCAGGTTTCAGGAGATCGAACAGTCGGTTAATGCCGAAGGAGATGAAGAAGAAAAACTCGAGGAGATGAAAGCTCTAAGAGAACTTGAACTATATAAAGAGAGAAAAAATAAGAAGAACGTCGATCACTAAATAAGCGGTCTGAATTCGTTTACCCATTGTTTATTTTTATGATCGTTGTTGAGAGAAACTGATTGAGCCTTGAAGGATTACATACTCAATTTCCTACTGATTACAGTCACCTGAAATCCATCATCTTTCTATTGCCCCTTTCCCCCACACCATTCCGCCGGACGCTAAGTGCTTCGATCGATCATGTAACCTTTTTTCCCCCTTCAATCCTTAGCAAGTTTTGGTCCACGTCTCTCTTTCATGTGTACACAATTGTCTTGTGGTGATATCTCCCCTTTTAGTATCAGTAGCTGTGTCCAAGTTTGAACTAGATTCCGTTGACCGACTCATCCTTTCTCCTCTGTCCTCTCTCTCTCTCTCTCTCTCTCTGTTCTCTTTCCACAACCAAATTATATATGTTGTATGTACCGTTGTTAATTGGACCAGATAAGGAAGGAAGAACACTCTAAATCTTGGGTCTCAATACATATGTAACCTAGTTGACGGGCTCAGAGAAGAGTGCTAAAATTAATAAAAACAAGCTGGATAAACAATAAGGGGGACCGTCCTTCTGTGGGCTCTCGGATAGTGTGTTGATTCCTCAAGGTGATTTCTCAAGATTCACGTTGCTCCTCTGGCTCTGCTATGTGTGCCTGGCATTGAGCAAAGTCACGGCTGAGATACGGATGGAATTACAAATGTCCGATTATTATGTATTATTCTTTTTTCAAGTCAAAAAGAAACCTTCTCGTTCCTTGATGGGGGTCAAGAATCGGGTATGTAGGAAACACAAAGACAAAAATTAAAATGCTGAAAAGGGGAGAAGTTGGTGAGCGTGTGCTGTGACAGGTGGGTGGATGTATGCATTACGTAGCTTGACAGGGGCTGTGACATGGGCTGATTGTATGTGTGCATAGATGGTCAACAGTAAGAAAAAAATAAATAAAATAAAAAACCGACCATCAACAACAACAACAACAACAACAGCAGCAGCAACTTCACCGGACCACTTCAGATGGAACCAACACCATGTCATCTCATGGTCCACAGAATCGGGCATTCTCAGTCACCCACCAGAGGGCCATCCTCGACATCAAGCTAGACGGAACCATCAACGCAATCACCGAGATCACCATCCTACCCCTCTCAGCCGACCTCAACACAGTACACCTCCACTCATCCCACTGCACCATCTCATCCATCTACCATCCCAGCCAACACCCAAACAACAACAAACAGCCACTCCAGTTTATCCTCAACCAGCCCAACCTCGTCAAGATCCCTGACCCCAACTCAGTCAGGCAATTCCCTGAAGCAAAACCCAGGCTATTCGAACAAGTCAACAAGAAGGAGACCGGCGAACTAGCCATCCAGATCGATCGACACAAGATCAATCGAACCAGCAATCGCCAACCTGCTACCAGCTTACTACCCCCATCCGATCAACATCAACTCCCAGCTCAGAAGGACAAAGATCTAGAATTCGATCCGATCATCATCACCATCGAATACCAGATCACTCAAGCTGACCTCACCCTCAACCCAGCCATCTGCGTCGTAGGCGGACAACACCCTCACCTATTCACCAATTCTATCTCGGCCAGGTCTTGGGTCCCCTGCTTGGATTCGCTATGGGAGAGAAGCCCATGGGAACTCGAGTTTATCGTACCCAGATCATCCATCACCAACCATGCGAAACCATCCCCGCTCACCGTCGTCGCATCCGGTGAACTGATCGAACAAATCACCCATCCAACCGACCCTTCCAAGACCGTCTTCTATTACGCACAAGCCATCCCGACCTCAGTCCAACACATAGCTTGGGTAGTCGGCCCTCTCACCGTCAACGACCTGACTCCCTATCGACCTCCCCCAACTTCTAGCCCACATCAAGATAAGGTCGATCAACCAGTCGATCAAGAGATCATCACCGATCAACATCATCAATCCTCTACTGAGATCAATCTACTTGCCTTCTGTCTCCCCAACAGACAGTCCCAACTCCTCCATGTCGTCAACTTCTTACCTCATGCTCTCTTTTTCTTCACCCAGGAAGGGTTATTCCTCGACATGTCTGCTGCCACTCACACCATCTGTGCCACCTTCAACTCAGCGACCTTGACCCTCCATCCATCCGATTTACTCTACCCACCTCAAGTTATCGACCAAGTATAAGAAACCAAACCGGTCCTCGTCCAATCTCTCGCCAGCCAATGCATCGACATTAACATCATCCCTAAATCTCCATCTGACACCTGGCTTATCAACGGTCTCCCACTCTACATCACCGGTCTATACTTCAAGGCGATCTGGGGTACCAACGACTATCGTGATCGAATCAAACAGGAAATCAAGTCTTCTCCTTTACATCCTCGATCGACATCTCAGGGTGATCGGGCGGTGGCACATCTCTCGGCTTAAGTCGGGTGATCCTCCAAGAGCTTTCTCTCTGCGATCTCGGGTGAAATGGGGGATAACATGCTATCCATCTACTAGCTTACAACGGATCTGACGAAAACTGAACCCAAATGAATTGAAATCTCGGGCTGATCAATGGATTTATGCATCTGGTTGTCCGATCTTCCAACTCACTGCATACTTCAATTGTAAGAAGCTAACTCACGAGCTTACCTTCAGGCAATCGAATCGTTCCAAGCAGTACTACGAAGATGATCAGACAGACCAGTTGGGCCGAGAAGTGCAACCTGAAACCAGTCGACCGATTCGAAGGTGAGATGCCAATACGAATTAAAGGGTCTGACGGAATACCTTACGAACATGTACCTGATATCAAAGAACCTTTCAAGCGCTACGGGCTACCCTCCAACCACAAGAACAAGAAATTTGAACGACCCAGTCGCCCCTATGCTTCATCCAACCAAGCTCCAGATCCCACAGAAACCTTCACTTATTCGCCTTGGGAGTGCTCACAAGAGGAGCGTGATCGATGGAAAGTTGATGATCGGACGGAAGAGGAAGATCAGTTCATCACACAATCCAAAGTCGAGCGGGTTCGTTTGGATGTAGAGGTCGAATGGATCTTTGAATTCAGCATTGAGATGAAGGAATTCATGTGGTTAGAACAACTCCAGAGGGATCACGACGTCGTCGCCCAAGTAGAGGTAAGATGAACTAACCCTAAACCAATGCAAAACAAGCAGGTTCACCGACTGAATTTTCCGACTATTTTTAGGCAGTTAGAGCTTTGAAGACTATACCTTCAAAGGTTGTCTCCAGTCACTTGTGTCGAGTAGCTCCCGTCTTGGAATACATCTTTCACATGCGTAATGAGGCCGTATTAGCCCTGGACTCCGTTTGTTTGCAGCTTTTCCTCAATTAATGCCAAGTCATCCATCGCTCCTTACCCATTTTTTCCCTTCTGTTACTTTCCCTTATATCACAGTGCGCAACCTGTCGGTGTGGCGTTCTAGGTCTATTCCATCTCCTCAAACTCTTCCAATCACGCTACTGTTATCCTCCCCGAGTCGAACCTGACAGTCCGTGGCACATCAGACCCATTCCCAAGCCCAACCAATTCGACAGTGCGAGATCAGAACAACAACTCTCTGCCATCAGTTCCTTCTTGATCAGCTGGTCTATACTTGGACAACACATGCGAGAGAAGAGTACGACTCGTGATCAACGACCTCGAAAGATGCTTCATGGCTGATCGGCTGGTGCCCTCATATCGTATTTTGATCGCAAAAGTCAGCGATCTCAGCGTAGTTTCAGCTTGTCTTTACTTTGTGCCGCTAGTATTCAAAAAATTCGGTTCTCGTCTTACAGGCCAAGTTGAAATTAATGCTTGCCGGTTTATTGCCGCTTGATTTGGTCTTCTTTTTGCTTCGCGCAAGGTGCGTGAGGATGTTCAAGTTCACGTTTCCCTCGCTTTTTTTTTTCTACCGATCTCCAGAGTCCCTTGGATTATGCTAAGTTATCTTGCATTGACCTATCTCAAATTCTAAACCGGGAAATTATATTCCCCTCCGAACCCCAGCATTTGACTGTCTTCTGCTTTTGCGAGGGTTCCAGGAAAAGGTGATCATTCGATACAAGTTCATAGTGCTACGTGATGAATCATCTCTGCTGGTTCACTGGCGGTTGGCCATGGGTCTGGTTCAGTGCTTACTGATTTTAGTGTTGATCAAAGAACTCGGTATGGAGCCATCTAACCAGAACTTCTCATTGCTGGACGAATGTCATCTACTCAGACCCCAAGAGTTTGATCATAAGACCGTCACAAAGCATACAAGGCCCAATGTCGGCCGTGCGCTAATCTTGAGATAATGTATCATGTCTGTTAGATTATCCTGAGATCATACTTCAGCTTATGTACTCGTCAAAGAGAGGCGATAATTGGTGGTCTTCGTATGTACAAACTCTCAATGACACCTCCAAATTGGCTGAGATGTTGACAAAGAATGCCAAGCAAGTGTACACTGAAATAATACCGTGAGCAGCAAATCTG